TTTTTTTTTCATTAATGCTATACACCAAATGTTTGTGTCCCTCTCCAAAATTGTATGTTGAAATCCTAACCTCCAATGTGATCATATTTGGAGGTAGGGCCTTTGTAAAGAATACCATGAGGGCAGAGTCCTCAAGAACTGGGTCAATGCTCTTATAAAAGAATTGCCCCAAAGCTCCCTCGTGCCTTCTGCCATATGAGGACACAGCAAGAAGATAGCATTCTATGAACCAGAAAGTGGGTCTTCACCAAAGAAGAAATGTGTTGTCACCCTGACCATGAACTTCTCATCCTCCAGTACTGTGAGAAATAAATGTTGTTTAAGCTACCCAGTCTATGGCATTCTGTTATAGAAGTCTAAATGAACTGAGACAGCAAATAAATAAATAAGCATTAAAAATCTCATCAAGGTATGGATTATGGGTAAATTTTATCTCTCCCAAATTCATTTGTTGAAGTCCTAACCCCCAATAGCTCAGAATGTGAACTTACTTGGAAACAGCATTATTGAAGATGTAATTAATTAGGAGGAGATCATACTGGAGTAATGTGGNAAAAATATAACTTTCTACTCTGGTCCAAAAATACGGTCATTGACAGCTACATGCATTTCTGGATAATCAGTCTCAAAGGTACTGGGCAATTCTATTTGTGTGTGAAACAAAGAGCAGCAAATTACCTCTTGGGCTGTACTTTGGTGGTGTCTGTGATATTAAGGCACCACCTTGAGCATACAGATTGCTGGTTGTAGGAAGCATATGTATATGACAACACAACCTAAAAATAGCCAATCTGCCATAGAATACAGTAGCGATGGAGATATATTGCAGGGATGGGAAAAAACAGCAAAAAACCAACCAAACAAATAAACAACCAAACAAACAACAACAACAACAAAAAACTCTTCCATAGTTGCTCAGGGATTTCCTACAAAGGATTGATAAGGTAGTTTCAGGATGAAAGAAAAATGTATTCTTATCTTATTTTCTTGTTTATTTGAAGTCTAGATGGAAAAACTATAAGGCCCATTG